CTCTCCTCTCCTCTCCTCTCCTCTCCTCTCCTCTCCTCTGAAGCAGGAAGCTGAAGCTCCTCTGAAGAGGAAGCTCCTTTTCTCGTCCCTCCTTTTCTCTTCCCTTCCCTCCTTAAATCTTCTGTAGGATTAAAGTAGCAGCATTTTAATCTTACAGAAGAATCTTCCCCAGGGCTCTTCTGCCTCTTTATACCGGTACGTTAGGGCCAGATCTGCCTTTCTTAATTGCTAACTGTACATGGGCTTAACTGCATCTGGTCTAGTGACGTCAAAGTTGTTCTTTGAAAATCATTGTCTCTAAATGTCTAAGAAGCCCTTTCTTCCTTCGCTTTTCTTGTTTAGGGAATATTAATTTCTTGATCATGATGGTTTGGTTAGTCTCAGTTCAGTTTGAAAGGTTTCTTCACAGCCCCTCTATTATTACTATTCTGGGGATTGAACTCCTGACCTTGCACTTGCCAGGCAGGTGCTCATATGCTGAACTTTGTCCCCATCCCCACAGCCCTTCTAGTCCACAATGGTATAGATTGGGTTAGGCCCGAATTTTACCTTGTGACTTCTGTACACACCTACAAAATTTTTCTAGTCTTAAAAACATGTATAAATAAATATAATAGGCAATTGTTCTCTGACTCGGCCCGAGAGTCGAGACGTGGGTAATGACCTGGAGGAGGAACGGGGATGAAAAAGACAGGGCAAGAGACACAAGAGATGGAGACAAGACAGGCTTTCTGATCAAGTCTCGTTTATTGAGGAAGTAAACAGGGTCTAAATAGCTGTATAGTGGAAGCAGTTGGGTGGGACTAGTTTTGGATTGGTAGTGGAGGTCCAGGACCACAGGAGGATGTTGAGGCAAGGGGGAATTGGTGCTGCAGCACTTCTTGCCCAAATAAGGGAAAATATAACAGGAGCGTTCTATCGCCCCCCACAGTTCTCAGTTCCACAATTTAGCAGAACACATCAGTAGGCTGTTGTTTGGGTTTCTTTCCCCAAGTTGAAATATGTCCAAAATGATAGTCCCCTTCACCTTAAGTTCTTACACTGAAGATTTATGAAGCCTAAAAATGCCCAATTTTTATTTTTATCTTTATTATTTTAAAGAAAAGGAAAATAAACAATAAAAGCAATGATATAAAACCTTAAAGCAAGACTGTAGGAGAGTAACAATGGTTAGCACATTGCATTTTGTTATCTTCAAAGTAGTTGCTCATAGAAAAAGATGTAGGCATGAAAAATTGATCGAACAATACAGGCATAGACCTTTCATTTCAATAGAACTTAGTAGTAGACCTATCTTAACTAACTCTCTTGTGTGTGCACATATATATGTATATAATTTAAAATCTATTTTCCTTTTCCCCTTCCTTCTTTTCCCCTCTCCCCATTCCAGTTTCTCTTTCCTTTTGAGCATTTTCTTCCCATTTCACAATATCCTATTTATCTTAATATGATTTCTATCTTTAATTCACAAAGTCTAAAAAAGTTCATAACAAATCCAATTCCAAAAGGACCTCATA